CCTTCGATTAGCTATGATATCTGCCATTGCCAACAATCCTAACATGTACTTTGATAGAATGTATAGGAAAAATGAATAATTCCTAATATATGTTCCAAATAAAGGTAATAAATAAAATGTGACATAATAAATTGTAGTGTTTAAAATTTTCATCATTGTCACTATAAATATATAGAGTAAATTTAGTCACATTTCCATTCATACATTTTTCTATTAATCATATTTCAATCAGGGAAAAATGCATGACCACCACTATATAGACAAAAAAAAGTTGATATCAAGTTTTATCCACGATCACTTTTGAGCTTCAAGCGCATCAAGTGGATGTGGTTGGATATAAATAGTCAGGATAAGTAATATGTAAATTGTGAACAATTTAAAATTGATAGCACAATTTAACTGGTATCACATTTTCAAATCAAGATATCATTTCATTTGATAAATAACTAATTAACAATGTATGCAAATTATAAATAAAAGTTAAACAGATAGTTATACATTATTACACAGTTGTATGATTTGCAAGCTTGGCTAATAGGTATATTCGAACATAAATATCCAAACAATTGAAAAGTAATGAAAAGATTTACAAGTTGGTGATCGTTAAAGAGTCAAGATACTTGTGTAAAATTTAGAAAGAGGACCTTGAAATTCTAATAATCAAATTAGAGAGATATTGCCTACTAATTGGAATGCTTACAAATCACGAAGTCTTTTCATATTTAAAATCTATATTTTTTATTGGGATGGTGGGTTAAGTTAGTATTGAGTCTATATTGAGGGTGGGTTGGTCTTTAATTAAACAAAATTATGGGTATAATTAATTAATTAATTGGGAGTAGGGCTAGGCTAGAGACAACCCGACCTAGTTTACCCATATATCTGCCCCTCTCCATAATGAAGTGTTAATGTGATAATCTATAAACAATTAATAACTTACTACAAAATCTTGTTGAGTGTTTTGAATTTTTCATATATTCAAATGCTTAATTGTGATGCTTCTTCAGTATTAGTGCATGATTAAGGATAGGAGTAACATGAAAGCTCATTTATTAACTTTGACTTTTCTTACAGATTCATGAGTGTTCATATTATAAACTAAAATTAGAGTAATAAAATGTGCAACATGCATGTGACGACAACAAAACAAAATTTGTGTCAAGTCATGTTTCATTCAAAAGTCAAGGATCTAGTTAATTGTGTGTATATACATATATTAATTTATAATTACATATTTATATATTATTATATTTTTATTACCAAGTTTTTGTCATCTTGCTTTTCACCCAAAAATAGCAGTAGATTTCAACCGTATGTGTGTGTACGTATGTACGTATGTATATACGTACGTATGTATGTGTATGTATGTATGTATGCATGTATGTATGTATGTATGTATGTGTAAGACGTACTCTATCATATACTACCTATCAAAGTATATTAAACGTTACATATAGGACAATGATGTTATGTGAAAGTTACATTTGAAATACCCCCACTCGAACTGAAATCATATACTTCCTCCGTTCCATAAAAGTTGCAACATTGGAATTTCTGCACTATTCACACACCTTACTTTGACTACGATTTTCTAATAATATATATAATAAAAATATTATGTATAAAATATTAATAAATTTGTATTAGTGTAAATTTCCAATATATTAACTTTTTTTTATGTTTACTAATACCTAAAGAAATATAATTACAGTCAAAGTTGCGCGTTGGCAAACGTGAAAGTCAAACTGTTGCAACTTTTATGGAACGGAGGATAGTAATATATTTATGAAAGTAATACCAAGTACATTGCATTTAATTATGAATATAATATACTCACTTGCAGTTATAGATTGATGAAAATAATCAAAGATACATTATTAAGACAAGGATCTTTACTAAAATTAAAAAAAAGAAAAAAATCTTTACTAAAATTATTAAAATAGTGACATATAAGTATAATAATATGGAACAATTGTAGACATTTAAATAAAAAATTATTAAAATAGTGACATATAAGTGACATATGAGTATAATAATATATGGAGCAGTTGTATAATAATATGGAACAATTGTATACATTTAAATAAACACATATGTAGTGACATATAAGTATATTATTAAAAAATCTTTACTAAAAAATTACTAAAAATTAAAAAAAAAAACTTTACTAGACTTATTAAAATAGTGACATATAAGTATAATAATATGGAACAATTGTATACATTTAAATAAATATATACGTAGTTTATTTTTTAAACACATGGAGTATATATTAATACATTATTAACATATATGTATTTGATAGAAAGGGAGTCTTTAGGTGAGAAATGAAAATAAATCTCGTATACTGATTTAAAGATGGTGTACTACCAAATCTTTTTTGTGCACTTTCATGAATCATAAAAAAGCGATGATATTTTTGTAAATAACTTTAAAAATCTGCATACCCTAGTTGCCCTATTCACAATAATAGCCTGGACCGAAATGCACCATACATGAATCTTTGCATATACACAAGAGAAGTGTTCTTTTTATGAGAATTGCACGTGCACATATGTAAAAGTTCTAATGAAGTGATTTTGATGTAAGAAATGATAATATATCGTTACCCGTTGATGAGCTTCGATTTACAATATGAGGTCCCTTATGTGCATTGACTATGATGAGGTCGATATCAAAAAGTTGATATCAAGTTTTATTCTCGTTTGTGCTTTGACTTTGATGAGCTTCAATTTAGTGTGAGGTCCTAGACTTGGGTAAAAACTTCACTTATGTTTCGCACCATTCTTTGGTTTTTATTTCTTTCCCTTGCTAACTATATCCCTCATGTAGTCCCTCTTCTTCACATATGAGCTAGCTTGTATGAGCTAGCTTGATGCTCTAATCAGTGCAATGTTGAAAAGAAGAACGACTCAACTCTAGATGAGTTGAAGATCACTTGGTGCCACATTAGTGCGAGGAAGGTCAGGTCTTCATCAATTTCAATGACACGACTAGTCACCGTGTGATCAAACCCTTCACTCACTTATTCGGATGTGGAAACCTTCTCTTACTAATGAAAGTGTTTCTGGTGTAGAATGAAACTTGTTCCTCTCCTTTTCTTTGTTTAATTTGAATTACATATTTGCATTTTACTCCAATATAAAAGCAGAAGTCAAGAATGGGGCTAAACTAGCATCTTTATGCGTTCTTCAATATATGTACTAAAGGAAGCATTCTATATGTGAGGTAGCGAACACGTCTCGAGGATGGGGTCAAGCTCATGCATTCGGTGTTATTGCATAAGCTATGGGTTTAGCATAGGCAAAACTCTTATGTGCAATGACTACTTTGTTGGGGCTCGAATTAGACTTATGAACTCATTTATGAAATTCTACCCGTGCTTTGGAATTTCGCTCCTTATTAAAAGCGTCTTGAAGACGGAAAACAAATGTATTTATACACTTCCTTGTATTGAGAGTGATCCTCTTAACGGAGGTCGAGGTCACATCATATGCTGCCCCTCAAAGCTCGGGTTGTTGGTTTCTAAAAGTCGTACTTAGAATCCATGTATAAGTAGTCTTCCTTATTAATAAGTTCTCACATGTTTTTATTTCATGCCTCTTGTCGTAATGAGTGACAACTGGCATTGGCCATTTTGGGTCGTCATTAGTATGCTCCAAGTGGTAAATTGCATTGACGCGATGATACAATTAGCTAGCTATTCATTGTCTATTTTATTTTTATGATGACCAAATGTTATTTCACATAGTAGAACTCTTATTCATAGGATGTGTATAGGGAAAGACTAAAACAGTATCAATGTCCTCGAATGGGATATGCACAAGTGCCCAACGAATATTCCCCCTCTAAGGGTGAGGAAAGAGGTCCTCCACGCTACTTTGGAACATTGGTTAAATTGTAACAAATTAAAAACATTCTCCACGCTCAAGATATTTTCTCGACATGAGTTATTCAACATGTATCGGCTCACTGGCTCAGTTTAGCAACTGCGAAAATGACGTACAATGTTTCAGGCTTCTTAACTAGTTTCTTCCCCAGTTAGTTAGGTAGTCATATTCTTACATAGGGTTAGAGATGGACTTAGGTCGGTTTGGACCCATTTTCAAGCCGAGATCGCCCGATAAAAAAAAGTTTGGGTCCGGAATTTTTTTTTTAGTGTTTTAGCTAGATTGAAGCCTAAAAAAATAAAAAATAAAACCGAGTCAAGATCGAAACCAGGACCAGAACTACCCTATTCTGTCCCCAAAACTGTAAACTTATACCGTGAACCGCTTTAGGGCAAACCGGTCCGGTCCCAAGCTCAAAATCGCTCTAAACAGGTCCATTCCGGTTCCAAACATTGTTGGACCTGGTTCCAGACCGGGCCAGACCGAGTCCATTCCTACATAGGGTATAATCTCCCACTTAGAATTTTTGAATGTACACCTTTGCATCGTCATACCTGCTTCACTTGTCATCAAGAACCACTCGCATGAGGACTTCTTATCTAAGCTCATAAGGTTAAGCTTTACCCTATATTCTCCTCATTCTATTCAAGTTTATACCACTCTATCCTCCAAGTAAGATCACTTTGGCTGCAATTTTTGCTTCAAACACATAACACCAAGCTAATGAGTTTTGTCATTTTGCCTTCTTAGCTAGGGAGTAATGCTATGTCTTCACAACACATTATGCAACTCCTTAACTTAGCTTCCACCTTTGTCTTCGGGCTACTTCAGTCATTCAAATTTCAATGACTCTCTCATTTGCACTCTCAACTTGACAGTTTTAGTGAAAGATATCAAGATGTGTTGTGTTTGATCTCCCAAATTGTAGAAGGATCTCTAAAAGAAAGTTTCATTGTTTGTGATTATTTTTGTGCAAGTCAAAGCGGTGACGATACTTTTCATCAAAAGTTTGTGAAATTAATATAAATACCAATGTTCCATTGATTGTTACCTGCCGGCTGCCCCTATCCTCATCTATCACCAAAGATCCAATCTCATGGCCTGTGTTGCACAAATTCTTTCAAGGAAAAAATCATGCCAAACGCACATTTTCAATTTTGAACCAAGGTTCTGGGGTTAAGTGTATTTATGGGTCCATCCCTGCCTTGAATCCAACATCCCACCAGAAGGAATTATGTTCATATTTTATAAAAATGAAAAGAAGATTGCGAAAAGAGCTTTCTTTTTGGTGGTTGGACAACATTTATTCACTCACTGAGATTTAAATGAAGGCATTTCACAACAAACAAAAAGAAAGAGCTAGAGTCTTGCAGAGCCAATGCGGCTGTAAAATCTTATCTCCCGGAAATTAATACACTGTGAAAGTGCTGCAGTAAGCCTTCTTATATCATCCAAACTGTGAGCTGCACTTAGCGTTATCCTTACCCTACAAACGAAAACATCCAATTAGACTTTAAGGACGCCTGGCCTAATTGCAGGAGTATTGTGGCCTGATGTTAGTTGATAAACCAGACCTGCATGAGTTGAAGGGGACGGTTGGGGGCCTAATTGCAGTTATGTGGAATCCCAACTCCAGAAGATGCCTGCGAGTATTGAGACAATAGATTATGTATGTGTGGATGTAGGGATTTGGAGAGCTATGCCTATATACTTCGATACATATTTAGAAGCCTGTTTGTAAAAGCCTATAATGGTTGAATTTGTTAAAAACTTAAAATTGTATCTGAACTATGTATAGTAGTTATTTAAAATACTCCGTATTATTTTTAATAAAATAAATAAATGACTATCTAAAAAAAGGTTGATGTGTCTTCTTAATTTATTTCCGCCATTTTAGCCACAAAAAAATTGTGATTGACGTACTACTTTTAGCGGACTTATGAAAAACTGACAGATGATATGAACAAAAATGTCTACCAAACAGGCTGTAAGATTTTATAACATTTCCCTCCCATTCTTATTTGTTTTCAAAAATATTTTATTCTTCATGATACAAACTATGCCTACCAAAATCCAAGGTGCTTCTCATCCAAGACTCTCAATTCGAAGTGGACCCGAGCTAAGCTAGAAAGATAATAGACAAAGGATGGTCCTGATATAAATAAAAAAGGCATACCTGCTAGCTTGCAATGCCATGGATTCACTTCCAACTATCAAGGAAATGATGTGACTTGTGATTGGGACCCCCGTGAGATCACGAAAGTCTTGCACCCTGTTCCAGATGGCCCTTCTACGCCACATCTCCTTTTTAGCCACAACAATAGCAGCTGTACAAGTACTTGTAGTGTTAGCAAAGCTGAAATAAAGAGCTGTTTAAACCACTAATCATGAAGGCCAAAGCATCGTGTGAATCTAATTGTCCAAGCACCACTTGTTAACAATTCCTTCTCATTTTCAAACGAAGTGGCGGAATCCAGCTTAATTAGCATAGCACTAGGTATCACATTAACAATATTTTCTGCTAAGAAATCTTTTGAAACCCAATAAGCTTACACATTTCTTGATACATCTTACAATTATTAAGCATACGTAATAGCATCAATGCATCATAATTACTCCATCGATCCTTTAACAAACATCACTTGTGGTGAACTTTAACTTGGGGAAAAGGGAGTATTACAAGATGTTAGTTGTAACGTTTGGTGAAAAAATGAGACTTCCACATTCATTTGGTGTTACCCAAAATGATGCCACCACACACACGTAGATAGATGTGTGTGGTGCATATGACTTGCGCATAAACATCTATCAGACTACTAGGACTATGTTTTCACACATGAAGACATTTATGGTCTGTTTGGAACTCAAAAATGCTAGGAAATAATATTGGTGATATTTTGAACGAAATAAAATGTGAGGGAAATAAATATTAATTCAAGCAACGATTTTACTTTCCATATTTCTCAAAAGACGTTTTGCTTTTTTATTTTTCCTAAGAGATCTAAATACATATAATGTTATAAACATTAAATCATACTACGTATTACATTATCCTTTCTGTTTTATGACATAAAGCCACACATAAAAAATAAGCTTTATTAGCAATTTGATTACTTTCCCTAGCATTTTCCACGACCCAAGCATATTCTAAAGCTTGAGACAAACGATAAAATAATATAATGGATCAGTAATTTACCATATGCAGCAGCAACAACAGGTATAGGAGCAGATGTAGAAAATATGAAGGAACGGCCCCTTGATTGAATAAGTTGCTTCCATTTCTTGCTGTTGATTTAGCATTTCAAAAAATGTAAGTAGCATAACTACAATGTACCTTATATTATGTATGACAAAACAAGCAATGCATATGGAAGTTTAGAACAAAGATAAACAGGACAACAGTACCTGCAGGCAATGAACCCACCATGGCAACCTGCAGCTTTACTTAGAGTACCTATGCATATGTCCACTTCTCCTTCACAATTAAACATCTCAGCTACACCCCCTCCAGTTTCACCACATACAAAAGTACCATGAGCCTATGAGTGAAAAAGTATTAAATATTGATGTGTCTAAATAATATGCTATTTATTTGAATATGTGCTCTACTGCCTAAGAGCAACTCCAGCCGGTTCCCTATTTGGAAATCCTTTGCTAAACAAAGGGAATCACTTTTGTTGTTGACATATACCCATTCTAACAGATATCTCACTACTGTAACTAAATTGAAGTCCCCAAGTAATAAAATAAACTATATTCAACGTATTTTAACAGAGAGCCTACAACATGTCTGCAGCAAACCCATTGGAGATACTTATATTCTTCTTTTCTTTTTTAAAAAACAGAAAGTTGAAAAAAATGTTTTATTTACTCCATATTAAATATGAATATTTTAACTATTATAATAACTGATAACTGATATAATTAGTCATTAAATTTAAGGTTCGCCCACTATATGTTGAGTCTATACAAAAATGCAAGATAGTGGTATTCATTACAGAAGTGATGATCAACCACCAGATGCATTCTTTGACGGAAGATAGTCAATGAAAAATTTTCTAAACATTCTGCTTTACACATTTTTGAAACTATAGTTTCAAAATGGAGCATATTAGTGTGCTACATAAGGAGCACATTATTGAGACGGTCGAGTAGTATGCAAGCATCTCACTTTTGTGAGGTGATTCTTTATAAGAGCAGGCTAGCATACTCACTAAATCTTACATTCATCAGTGGATCCCTGTTTTAAAAAGCTCAGTATTCAAGCTGCAATTTAGGGAAAATAGCAAGAATATAAAGCTGAAATATGGGAAAAAAGCTCATGCAATCTCAAACTTACATCATCAATTGCCAACAAAAATTCATGCTTCTTACGAAGTTTGACAAGCTCGCACATTGGTGCAATATCTCCATCCATACTAAATAAACTAGTAAACCAGAAAAACCCAAATAAAAAATAAACACTCGTTAAATAACAGGAATTTAATGCCTACTATATTTTGAGGTAAGGAGGAGTTGATAATGACTAAAATGGCTGACCTATCTGTGATGACAACCTTTTTTTTCATTCTGCAACTTGATCTGTAAACACACGTTTTCAGAACTAATCACACAAGAAACTTCTACAAAAATTAACAGAAAGGAAAGAAATATTGAAAGGCATAACATACAGCAGTTCATTAAGGTGGGACATGTCACAGTGTCTGTAGACATAAACAACAACACCTTTCTGTTTCTCAGCAAGGCGTATACCATCAATGATTGATGCATGGTTGAGAGCATCAGAAAATATGGCTACTCTGTCCTCATCCAATAAGGATTTGCCACTTGCAGCTAAGAGAAGACTTATGCTGCCCACAGCTGTGATAAATGCCATATTGGCTGCAAAGCCTGTTGGACAAAGAAGGCAATCCTAGTAGTGTGTAAAAGATTGCAAGACAAGTGCATCAGTTTAAAACAAAACAAAGAAATTGATTCCCCCACTCACTTGCTCACAACAAACCAAAACTTGTTAGTGATTAGACTTCATTCATTTGGGTATCAGATTTTATAGACTTAAATATGTTCATAACCCCTTTGATCACTAAAACTAATTTATGTAATTCACTTTTTAGTCCTTTCCCACGCCAAGTTGATATAACTAAAAGCGACTATTTAGGGAATTAGAACTAACCACAACTCAACCCTTCCACTTTCAAAATAATACATCTCTGGAAATAAAATTGTAAGTTCTTTGAAAATGATGAGAAAAGGAAAGGCTAGAGTTCTATGAGCCACGTGAATTTTTAAAGAAAATGTTGATGAAGAGCGGCTAACTAGAAAAACAATAGATTAGAAAAAAGAAGAACAATTGGAAGAAACTTAAAAAATATGTATAAATACAGGGACAAATAACACATAAGCCAAGTTTAATTTGATATTACAAGTTAAAAGATACATCTGTGTCATCTTCATCCATTTACAAAAGTACATCAAGATAGAAAGGTGTTAAGAGTCTTAGTTATATCCTTACTTCTTTTCTTTTTAGGTCAGCCAAAGAGGATTCCAATAACCTGTGATAATATGAATATCCACATACTAAGGCAGATCCTCTTGGACCCATTCCATGCCTCTGCACTGCCTAATCATGAAACCCATAGTAAACAGTTAGCCAAGCTTATACGTACTAAACAATCAAATAAAACAGCAACAAGTATTACAATGTATGATGTTATAATAAGCATCTTACATCTATTACAGCCTTGATGACAGTCGGGTGAGAACTCAACCCCAAGTAATCATTTCCTGAGAACAAAACTAACTTTTTGAATTCTCCACCAGATGCCCCAAATTTGACACCAGCCCAAACATTTCCGCGTTCAGGGTCATCCCCTATACATCATGCAATCCCAATTCCAATTCCACTCAAAGGTCGCCGAAAGAGAAATTATATATGAAAACGCTTTTACTAAACTGTACATTGTAATCAGAAAAAGAAAAGGGAAAAATGGAGTGTCGACTTAAATACTGCAATCGAAGATAAAAGACACAACCTTTATTAGAAGGAGGGTAAAAGGTCCGGACAAGAAGCAATTACCAGAACTGGGTGCATCTTGTAGCCATTTTTGGAATGTGGTTTCAGAAATCATGACTTCGACTGAGGCCCTGTCTGACAGTCGCAAACCATCGAATACTTCGAAGTCATCACCAGAAAACAAGGTGGTGCTTGAATGGCCACTTTCTTGGGTGCCGGGTAGGGTGGCGTTTGAAGGAAGAAGGGGTCTGAGAGATCGGAGGAGTTTGAGAGAGTCCAATACAGAGAGCGCTTGATCTACCCATAAATCCCAAGAACTCATCTTCATTTCTGTAGGAGAGCAAGATGGTGATGGAGTTTATGAATGAGTCGAGTATGTTTTGTTGTTCAGCAGTAAGCATCACTGTCAAATTTTAAGTTGAGTTGGAAAATGACACTGCATTTAGTACATTCCAGTAGAGTTTGGTTCATAGCAAACAATTGTGAATAAATTTAGTGATCGTTTGTGTACTGTGAAAACTACGCATCATATATTACTATTAAATTTATTTGTATGATGATTCATAATTCATAAATTTGTCACTCTTTGTGTGTGATTTCTTAGATAAAGTTTATCACTTTAGTTAAGGATAAATTATGCAAACAGATAAATTAGAACTTTAGCACTTTGGATGAATTAGCACTTTATCATAAAAAAGAAGGGGTTTAGAGTATAAATACGGCAAGTTGGAAACTCTGGCAAGTCGAAAAGTCTATAAAGAAGAAGACGAGTACCTGGATGAGTACTGAGGCAGAGGGCGCGGTCGGCAGTAACAGCGGACAGCAGTGGCCGCGGTGATGATTTTGAGATGTTGGGCCGACTTTTTTAAGGAACCCATACTTATTAAAATTGGGATTGTATTAATAATTTTGTTTTATTTTCATGCTGCGTTAAATAGTAATACGGTAATTAGCACGTGCACCGATAGAGTGATAAAACTGAGGATGTTTTTACTTGGATTGTAATTCCTTCCAGATCAGACCAGATCAGACCAGACCAGATCAGACCAGCCCAGATCAGACCAGATCAGACCAGCCCAGATCAGACCAGATCAGACTTGGATAGTTATAAAAATTCAAAGAAACCAGACCAGACCAGCCCAGCAAATTACAGTCCAAGTAAAAACATCCTAATAGCTCAATGGCTGTTGCTGCACGGCTAGCTCAAAGCTATGTTTAAACAACCGACCCGGAACCCGTTGACCTTGGCCGAATCCAGTTCGGTTAATTAAAAACTCGGAAATGGTAAAAAATCGGAAAAGCCTGGCCGACTCTGCAAAACCCAATCCAAACCCAGACCCGATAAACTCAGGAAACCCCGGTTTTGGTTGTTTTTTTTCTTTTAAAAAAAAAATAAAGCATTTTTAACCAATACCGGTTACACGCCCAAGTTTAATTGTCTTTGCGCAGATAAATGATTTTAATTTTTGTAAAGGAAAGTGTATGTGCCCTCAAAAAATGAATTGTCTGTGCACAGACAATTCGAGGTCAAAAACACATCCCTTTACAAAAATTAAAATCAATTGTCTGTGTACAGACGATTACACTTGGACGTGTAACGTGGCATGTACAAGTAGCATTTTTGTTATTTAAAAGTGGCCAAATGATAATCCAGATCTACTCTAGTGTTGAATCAAAGTTCATACAATGATAAGGTTTTGAGTAAATTTTCTATATCCAATGCTAAATATATGAATGTGCGCGTCTCTTGCATCTCATTTTGTGTTAAGTAAGGATCTGTCCCCCAAGACTGAAATTGAAATGAATGAAATGAAAAATGTGCCATATTCAAAGGCTATAGGATCCATCATGTATCTCATGCTTAGTATTAGGTCCAACATTGCTTATGCGGTTAATTGCTTGAGCAAATACATGTCTAATCCCAGTATGCATCACTCGAATGTATTGAAATGACTTTTAAGGTATTTGAAATCTTCTTTGAATGTTGGTTTGACTTTTTCTAAGTGCTCCGAATGTGTTAAGTTAATTGGTTATATTGATTCCAATTATGCTAATGATAGAGATCATAGAAAGTCTACAACTTCTTATGTGTTTACTCTGTGTGGCTCTTATGTAAGTTGGAAATCTCAACTTCAACCTGTTGTTGCTCTATCTACTACTCAATCTGGGTATGTTGCTGCTACAGGAGCTTTCAAAGGAAGCTATTTGGCTTAAAGGTCTTTTGTATGCAATTAATTTTCTTGACAAAAATGTGGTTATATTTTCTGACAGTCAATCTGCTATTCAATTGTGTAAAAATCCGATTTTTCATTATATGACTAAGCATATTGATGTTAGATTCCATTATATTTAAGATATAGTTGAAAAGGGAAATTATAAAGTTAGAGAAAATCCATTCAGAATTTAATTCTACTGACATGGGTACTAAATGTTTACCTGTTGAAATTTTTGTTTCGTGTCAAAAAAATTTAATTTTTTATTTTGGTTGATTTTTTCGTGTTGCATCAGTTTATTACTTACTTACCTAGTGTTTGTTAATAGTTTGATGTTGGTCTCCCGTTGAACTCGAGGACCCTTTGGTAGAGTTCGGTCCTTCCTGGACTTGGTATGCTTTGAGTTTATGGCCCCTTGTGATCAAAGAATACATGGTGTATTCTCTCATATTACTTGTATCGTCTTTGTATTATTGGATACTTTTTGTATGTCTTTTCTCTCATGTCAACATAATGACCCAAATGGTCTTTGTATAGTAATTATAGTTGACACTCTATTTAGATACCCACTACGTACTCCTACTCCAGTTATCAAGCTTGATTTATTTCTCCCATTTGAATTTAAATTAGGCTCATAATTGTTCAAATAAGTGAGGTGTGTGATTGAGTGTACGGATATACGTCCATCTAATCTCCCTGCGAACAAGCCAAATATTTCTCTTCTCCTGCACGTGCCAATGTTTTGAGTGAGCCACCCCTTTGTTTCCTCTGGTTGTATATAACAAGCATATTTGTGAAACCTTTCCGATAGAGTGAGAGATATCAGTGTCTTTGAACTTGACATGGTGAGGAAGGTAGAATATGGTAGTTGCTCCCTTAATTATAGGTGTGCACAAAGAGACAGTTGGAAATTGATTTCGGCATACCTGAGTCGAAACCGACGACGGTACCGATCCCCAACACGCATAAAATATATGAGAAAGTGTTAAACTTGTATTAAATAATTTCTCATTAAACTCTTTATAATCGGGGATTATACAATAGATACAAAAGTTATGTACAAAGACAATCTAGATATGTAGCTAACTGAATATAAAAGCATTAAAATAATACATGTACATATAAATAAATTATATCTACCTATAAAGGAGTCTTGTGCATTGCTCTAAGGCTGCCCACAACCCGCAGCCGTCAATAACTCAAATTTCCCACCATTTTATATGTATTCACTCAATCAATTCAGATTTTATTACAACCCAGCCACCGTCAATATATTCATCTACCAAAGTTTATTTAATTAATGTCTTATTTTTATTATTATATATCAATTTTTTCAATCATTTTTTGAGATTGATTAAGATTTATAAAGTCAAACATTCCAGTGTAAAAATAAATTAATTTGGAATTTATTTTTTTTGTTTTTATTTTAAACCCATTTTTGAGATCTTATTTTTTCTAATTTTATATATGTGATATTGGTGTCATATGAAAGATAAATTTTTTTTAAGAATTTTGATATATATATTTTAAAGATTTAAGTACAAATAAAAATGTTATAAATGTTTTAATAAAAAGTAGATTTTTCTTTTTTCTTGGAGTCCACACCCTCTCTTCACATCTTCTCACCTTCCACCTTTTTTTTTGCTTCCGGCTCTTTGTTCCGGTAAGGCAAAGGAGTGAAAGTAGGTTCGGTTTGGTCGGTTCGGTTTGGTCGGTTTCGGTTTTTGAAAAGGTGAAACCGAAAACCGAATCGCAGTACTTGAGTCGGTTTCAGTTCGGTTTCGATTTGGTTATTTTTGGTCGGTTTCGGTCGGGTTTAGCATGTTTTTTGTCGGTTTTGTCGGTCGGTTTCGGTTCGGTCGGTTTTTTAACCCAAAAGGTGAAATCGTAAACCGAACTGTCAATGATTAATCGGTTTGAGTCGGTTTCGGTTTGAATCGGTTTCCGTTTTGGTCGGTTCGATTTCGGTCGGTTTGTCGGTCGGTTTTGGTTTTTCGGTTTTTTTGTTCACCCATACAAAATACATAGGTGATGGATAGTCTACCCGGGGGTATATATCCGAAGGGTTATTGCGGGGAATAACTTAGAGAGAAGTCAGAGTAAGCAAGTAAATGTAGAGAGAGAGTGTATTCAGTATGAATGCCGTTTTCAGCGTGGTTACAAATGAGGAAATGGGGTGCTATTTATAGTAGCAATAAATGCCGGGCAGGGACACGTGTCAAGCGCTCATTGGCCGAGGGGTCACCTCAACTGGTTGGCGCTGGCAGCCGCATGTGGCCGCATTTAATGCGGCTGTTGGATGGGACGTCTGTGCAGGGTACGGTGATCTGTACGCATGTGAGGCGGATATCTTGTCGAGTGAGATGCCTTCGGCCATAGAGCAGTAGCCGAGGGCTCCTCCAACCGATGGCACCCTGGTGCTGAGGGTTCACAGTGCCGAGGGCTACTGTTTTCGCCGTTTTCTCCCAGTTTCTTAATTTGCTTGAGAAACCCGTTCTGCGAGAGTTTAGAGCCTTCGGCCAGGGGGCCGAAGGCACCCCTGGTGCGTAGTGTGGGCTGTTTGGTACTCTGGGCGCTGTGATTTGGGCCTGTTGGACCTTCTGGGCCTGTTGGGCCTCTAAAGGAGTAGTAGGAGTCTGTGGGTCGGGTGTTCCCGGGCCATATACTCCATCAGGAGTCTCTCACTCCTTTTGCCGAAAGGTACTTGAGGGAAAAGGAGTAATTTGTGCTTGCCCTTTGATGTTGTCCCGTCGTGATCTCTGAAGTTGGTGAGGAGTTGTTGCTTTTATGTCCCTGCCGAAGGCAGTCCCTCAGTTACCCACATGTCGGGACTTGAGGGCTTGCCTTGTCGTTTGTTGGAATTTCACTAATTTTGTAATTTAATGATTTTCCCGAGGGGGTCCTCCAGTCCCCCACTCCTTGAGGCACTTGTAAAGTGGTGAAAAGGAGTAGAGTAGTTGCGTTGCTGTTGTGGGCCGAAGGCTGACGTTTTTTCGTTTCATTTTGGGGGGATGCCTCGTTAAAAACCTCATTAGGAAAAACCCTTTGGGAAAAAATCCTAATGAGGGAAAAAGAGTGCACCGAATTCCCCCAATGATGAATCGAAAATGTCAAACCTTGGTAAAAAATGGAGAATGACGGGAATGCCGAAGGCTCTCTCTTCTGAGGGCTCCTGTGTTGATTAGCCGAAGGCTTGCTGTTGATGTCCTGGTGGCGCCGAAGGGGAGCCCCTCAATTCGGGAATCGAGGGCCTGCTGGATGAGGGCGGCAATGGAGTTGTTACCGGGGGGTCCACTGTTTGTTGATTGGTTGGTGATGAAGATACCCGAGGGCTCCCATTACCTGTGTGCCATGGGTCATCCGTCAATGAGGCAACTCCCCGGGGGCTACCCGGTTTTGCAGTGCTGAGGGGGAATCCCCGAGGGGTGCCCTGATATGAAGCCTTGGGTTTCTGAAGGAGTGATCCCGAAGGCGTCTGTTATGTGCTGTGTGGGGCACAACCCGGGGGCACTTCTGAGTGAGTGTACCCGGAGGCTATCCTTGATGAAGTGGAGTGAAGTAGAAAACCCGGGGGCTTCCAGAATATAGCCGTTGGAAATATAGCCGTTGGAATATGTAACGACAGGATATAGCCGTTGGGGGGGTGGCACACGT